TTGTACTGATTTTTTCTAAATACCTAATCCCCCTCGGATTTCATTTTTCCATTATGGATTTTTTCATATTCAAACTCGGTTTTAATCAATTGATTAAGTGACCAAATTAATTTCAAACATAATTACATATATATCGATTTAAACTTGAAACAAATACCTCAATACAATTAAAGTGAGTTAGGTTGAGGTAAATATTCAAAAGAAAAAGGAGATTATTAACTTAGCTAATACATACTTTATCGAATTATTATGTCCTGAGATCAAATCATGTCTTCATAATTTCCCGTTTGTCAAAAATTATGGTAGAATAATTTCTTGTCATTCATAAATGATGCCGATGCGCTTGTATGAAGGCCTTCCTTGTGTCGTCGCGAGTCGTAACTTAAGTCACGACACCGTCATCCGTCTCTTGGGAGTCTGTGGATGGGCGGTATTCTAAACCGCGAGAACTGCAATATCGTAAAGAATTCCGTCACCGGAGGGCTACCCGAAACGATGACGTGTAATCGTTTTCGATCTTTTTGTTCCTTCCTTACAAGTGAGGTTGTTTATGATTACATCTTACCGAGGGTTATCATACGCGTCGTTCTTGTCTCGCAGAAACGGGGGGGTTTTAGGGTTTCTCCAAGCTTCGACTCCCTTCGTCGGATTCTCTTGCCGTTTGATCTCCGAGGGAGAAATGGAGAGGCTGACATCTCTAATTCCGGACGAGCTAAAGCGGGTCATCGGGAGAAGTGCGCCGGAGAACTTGACGATGACCTCCTCTTTGCTTCTTGATTTCTTGCGCCCTTTACCTCAGTTTCAACAAGTAATTACCATCTTTTGGTTGATGCTTCAAGAAAGCTGTCATCTTGAATGTTGTCATCTTTTCGTTGGCTGATTTATGTTAATTAGGTCATCCGGGAGTTGACGGACCCCGATTTGGCGTTGTGCCGGAAGAGCAAAGAAGCAGCATTGGGTTCGAAGCAGAAGGGAAATGAGTGCTTTATGAAAGGGGATTACGTGGAAGCTTTGAGCTTTTACTCGCACGTCTGCTCTTTTTACTTGATTCTTTTCTGTTCATGAGAACTCCGTTTTTGTCACTCACTCTTTTCTTAATCAGAATAACGAAGATTGTTTTCCCTCTTACTGTTTTCTTTTTGTATTAGAATATCATTCAAAACGTTATTTACATTAACAAAAAATGTTAGCTGCTTTGTTCAGATGCTGGCTTTATAGTGAGTTGATCGAAATTATCTGAATGGTTGATTATTAGTTTATGAGAAAACTTTTTATTTTATCTGTTGGCTACCTTCAACACAAAATGAGAGTCTTGTTTGTTCTCTGATGGATTTATTGATGCTTCATGATCTCTTAAAACAGGCATTACGTCATGCACCTGCGAATTCTGAGATGGACGTGAATTTGGTTGCTACATTGTATGTAAACCGGGCTTCAACTATGCATGTAACTTGTTGCTCTCATTTGTTTCAATTAACGCAAGCTGCCACAATGTTTCTAACTTTAGTTTGTTGATTGTGATTATTAACATGCATTTAGTACCAGGATACAATATGATTTACATGAATTATTTTTTGGTTTTTCTTAATATCACATCATTTCTTATTTATACTTAGCTGTAAAAGTTCATTATAACCATTAGTTTTCTTTAATTAGATGTTGAAAAATGTTATGTGAATTGTTTGTGTTCACTATACTGGATGGTATCATATGTTACATCTTGTCATAATTCTATTTTGGGATAAAACAATTATTGCTTTGAACTGGTATGGGGTTGTCATGGGTATAAATCTTTGTGCATTTCTTTGAACTTTGCATAACATGGTGGTATGGGGTTGTCATGAGTATAAATCTTTGTGCATTTCTTTGAACTTTGCATAACATGGGTTTCTTGTATTCCCAAATTTTGTGGATTACTTGATACAAACCTAGATTCACTATCATATATATATATATATATATATATATATATATATATATATATATATATATATATATATTTGTGTAGATAGTTCACTTATGACACACATATTTTATCACTAATTGTTAATTCAAAAATTTCCTGTATTTCATCGTATGTTTTCTTATGTTGCACATTCATTTCTCTACCAGAAATTGGGCCTTCTGCAAGAGTGCATTCGGGATTGCAACCGTGCTATTTCAATTTTTCCTGCTTATGTGAAGGTAGGTGAACAAATCCTGGTTCTCGTCTGTTTTATTTGCTATGCTTTATTGGAAGGATTGTACAAGAAGCACATGATCATGAAAGGAAGACTGTTGGTGAAGAAGAAGCATGATTATCTTTCTTAGGTTTCTTAAGAGAATGAATATATGTGGATTCCAGTAGGTGATCAGAAAGCATTCATGACCAAGGATGAGTAGCTTTATGTTGCAGCATGGCAATTCTTCTGTTTTGTATAGGTGTATGCAGGGCAATCTTGCATGCTTGTTACACAATGTGCTGGTGAGGTGCTATCCTCAAGCATGTTAATATATTTATTTCATTATCCTGTTGATTGTGCATCTTGGCTGTCTTGGCACATGCATGATTGGACCCAATTTTCTCACTTTTTGCTTGGCAAGTAAAACTCGATGCAGAAAAGGTCTCGATATTAAAACAATAAGACAAGTTTTGACATGGTGTTTTCGAAGGCATCATTGCTTATCAGAAGGTCCATTCGAGATGGACTTTTATTTGTATAAATAGGAGTGGAGCTAACATATAAGTGATCTTAATTTGTATTAGAGTAACAAGTTCTAATTGCATAAATAGTTACTATCATCACTACCCTATGACCATTGTAATGAGGAACTTGCCAATTGTTTCAACCTATTTAATTCATTCACTGTTTTCTTGGTAATTCCTAAAATATATCTTATCCATTTTTCCTTGTTTTCTTATTGCTTATCTTTGTATGCAGGCATGGTATAGAAGAGGAAAGGCTAATGCTTCTCTAAAAGACTACAAACATGCTACACATGATCTAGAAGTAGCTGTAAGTATGGAAGACAATCCGTCTAGGAAGAGCCAGATCAAAGGAGAACTTAGTATTGTGTTAAGTGAATCCAGTAGTTCTAATGAGATTGGGATGGTTAGTAATAATGGAGAAGATGAGAAAGTGGATTCCTTAGGTTAGCATATCTTAGTCATTTGCAGTATTTACTTCTTTTTTGATCTTCTTTATATGAGTATGGTGCTTAACTGAGATGAGATTCTGGCAAGGTAATGATGTTTAGTAGATGTACTTAATGGCTAATCACCAATGACCATCTATTATCGATCCATTTTCCTGGAGTGCTTATTTGACTTGTCCTTGCCTTATTGTTTAACTTGAGAGGATTCTTGTTATTGGAATTCTTGTCATAAAAAATTTCTTGTTATATTGTCCAATCATCAAATGTTGCTATTTCATGCTAGTTCACTTTAGAGTTAATTCAAATTAGAGTTTTATCTAATTATATTATTTTTTAATTTTCAAGGAGTGATACAGTGTTGGCTTTATGGCAGCTCAGTCAAAAGCTCTGGTACTTCAGTGTGTCTCCTCACCACACAAAGGCAGAGGACTGACATCTGCACATGACATTCCTCCAGCTTCCTTAGTTCACCATGAAGAACCTCTTGCCGCGGTATGACTTTGGATGAATTTACTCAACCTCCTCAGATTATTAGATTCTATTGATTACTTAATTTTTCCATGACCATATCCAGTGAGTTTGTAGATGCTAGAATTCTAATGGTTTTATTCATTGTATTTTCTACTAAATATCCCATTTGTTGTGATTTGCAGATTTTGCTGAAGTCTTGCCGGGAAACTCATTGCCACTTTTGCTTTGATGAACTCCCAGCAGATATTTTGTTCTGTCCTTCATGTACTATACCAGTTTACTGCTCAAAGAATTGCCAGGAACAGGCTTTTGGGAAACATGATACTTATCTGAGTAAGACAAATTTGGCCACGGATCTTGAGAAACATGTTATGAATGCTATCTTGGCAAATCCTACAAGAAGTACTGGAGAAGATATATGCAGTAATCACATTCTGGAACATCGACATGAATGTGGAGGTGCACATTGGTCTGCTGTTTTACCACCTGACATAGTTTTGGCTGCTCGATTGATAGTAACTTCTATAGAAAAATGCAAGGCTTCTGGGACGATCTTTAATCCCTTGGATTATTTGGTGAACGTCTATATTAACATTTCGGATTTTTGCTTTGCTTTGTTTACTCATTTTTAAGGTTAGCTGTAGTCATGAATAATATTGTGTTTTTTCTTGTGTAGGACTTTGTTCACAACTATGCTCAAAATCCTTCAGTTAGCAAGTTGGAGTTGCATGTCTACGCGATTGTCCTGTTGTACTGTTTGCATCAATATTATAATTCAGATTTTCCACTCAGTGGGGCTTCTGTAGCTCAGGTACCATGAAATTTATACATTGTTATGGAACTTGATTAAATATTGTTTGTGAAATTTTTGTGATCATTGGTTTGCTCAAGTTAAATGAATTGTTGAATCTGTAAACAAACTGTTCACATGATTAGTGTCAAATTCATTATTTTATTTTATCAATACCTTTTTTGTCAGCATTAAATATAGGAGAAAAACTGAATGATCATCCTTTGTCTCCATTCTCAAATGCAAATCTTGCATTTTTGAGGTAATTGTAGCTTAACATGCCTCATCTCTTCATATGAGAAAGAATCTCTTCTGTTTGTTTACGAACATAGTCCTGATGCCCTCAGAAACATAGTGCAGTTTTTTTTGCTTGTGAATGTGAACAATCAAGAAAAATATACTAATGCAAGAATAGAATTAGGATAAGATTCAAGATTATTTCTATAGGGCCTCTAGTGCTTGGACTTTAAGGAAAATTCAATTGGGTTCATATACTTCAGTTTCTCTCGATGGCATCCTAAATGTTAACTAAAGTTTCAATCTTGTTCTATCATTAATATCCCTAACCCCTGATGGAAAGCTGACCTCATTACATAATCAGACTTGACTTGCTAACCTAGCACAACGTCAGCAAGCGAAGTTGTTTGATGTGTTCAATATGTTCCAAAAGCCAAAGTTTAAGGCATGCTGAGCTTGGCTTACCTCAATATGTTTCACGAGTATGAGCTGTTATCTCAATAGAGGAGAATTTGGACCTCTTGATTGCCTTTCAGTTAAGTGTCACCCATTGAGTTATCCCTCTGGATTATGGATTAACTACCAGTATGTGATGTTATCTCTGAGGTCATATAGGAGATTCTGGAACTTTTAAGTGTTTTTCAGTTATTTTACTGTATATACTGTTCTAAAGAGTCGCCAATGCTGCAGTTGATTCTGGTGATCTCCCAAATTAAGGTTAATTCTATGGCAGTTATCCATATGAAATCACATAATCGAGATGAGGCTTTTGGAAAGTGTTCAAAGTTTTTTATTTTCGAAGAGCATATTACACAAGACACCAAGCAGGTACTTTACCTACATAGTCGCTATATTGTTAACATTGTTGTGTTTTAATATGGGTTCACTTACCACAGCACCTGCTGATCCTCTGTTACATTTATTCATAAATGGTCACATATTTATTTACCTGACAACAATAAAAGTTGTTTATGCTTGTAACCATGATTCTGCTATTTGAAGTACATCAGGGCATATATGAAATACATTCTTTTTAATTGTGTATTTACATACCATCATGTGAAGTACTTGTTTCTCTTTGTACTGTTCTTTGTGTGGAAATGGTCTCATTTGTCTTAATGTTTGGCACCATCAGAAGTTTTAAAACATTATATTGATGGATATGAATTCATCTTGGGGAACACCTGAGATTTTTGACATATTAAGTTTGAACTGTTTAACAAGTCCATTTAAAATTAACTCTTAATCTGACACTAACTCTTAGCCTAATGACTGAATAGGACACTTAGCAAATTTTAGTGTCATCAATAATTTTGAATCTAGGATAGCATCTTATAGATCTTCTAGACCAACCACTGTATAGTATTTTCAGTTGATGTTTTATTTATCCCAATATATATTTTGTTGGCCATTGAATTAGACATGCTATCCTCTTTGAGATATTAAATGGCTGTTTTGCTCTCCTTGTATTTAAACAAATTTTCTTCATTTAATAGGTCAAAGTAGCACAAGCTATATACTCAAGGGGTAGCTTGTTTAATCATTCATGCCAGCCAAATGTTCATGCTTATTTTCTTTCTCGTACACTTTTTGTACGCTCAGTAGAAGTTGTGCCCGCGTGGTGTCCGCTTGAGCTGTCTTATGGTCCGCAGGTAATTTCTCAAAAGGTGTCTTGATTAATATACAGATTACTCATTGTGTGCTGGTGCATGTAACTTATCTATAATATATCAGTATTGGCTCTGAGCGTTTGGCTTTTCTACAGGCAGGAGAGTTGGATCTTCAAGGTAGACAGAAGTTGCTCGAAGAGCAGTACTCATTCCAATGCCGTTGCTCCAGTTGTTCAGAATTGAACTTGTCAGATCTTGTCATGAATTCTTTTCGGTGTGTTCGGCCTTATTGTCTTGGTGCAGTTCTAGAAGCCACACATTACAAAAGGCTTGAAAGCAATTTCTTGCAAGTTTCTAATGCATCTGGCACCTTTAAACTCTCTCTACCAGTATGCCAACCTGAACTTGTCTAATTTATGTCTGGTACAATAACTATGCATTTAGTGTTTGCTAATGTGTTTAATATGAATTATTCTGGATGAATTTCATTTTATGATTTGAAGCATTTTTCTGCTTGTCAGTTGCTTAGCAGTAAAAAGGACATAAGTGATGTGGCACGAATGTTGCTTCATGAAAGAGGAGCCAATAGTCACATTGCTGCTGGGCATTGCATGAGTTGTGGTTCTTGTTGTGATCTCGAATGCTCAACTGCAGGTTCTAAAAGTTCTCTTGCAAACATCCAGAGGTATTGGCTATTAATCTATTTCTTTGTCTGCCCAAATTCATACAGCTGCAAGATCTGAAGTGCATATACTGACAGGTTGAAGGATTCTTTGGATTCAGATCAAATTCCAGATGCTTTTGTTTCAGAGATGCTGAGTTCTCTCAGTCATTTAAGATCAGTAAGGCATCCGTATAGCAAGATTGTTGCTGAGGTCAGTTTCTTCACAGGATAGTTTACTATTTGTTTTTCAGCACTAGGTAGTCTTCATAATTACTGTAATCAAGGAATTTGCAGAATCTCCCCAATGTTGAAATCGATTATTAACAACTCCAATCTGGGTTCTCTTAGTTATGGAGTTTTTAAGTATGCATAGGTATTACTCCGATGATAATAATCAAGGGACAGAAAACTTAAAATTGCTAACTGAAACAGCAGCATGGGTAAATCAATATAAGCAGTTCCTATTAAATGGACTTTGTGCTGACCCAAAAGAACACGCTTTATGATGCAGGCTGATGATAATGTGGCTGAGGCGTTTGTTAGGATTGGGGAGCTTAAATTGGCAGTGCAGCACTGTGTTGCTTCGATCGAGGTACCTATCAGAAACAATTATGGTTTCATTATAAATCACAATCTCTGATGCTATCCGTTGCACTCATCTGAAGATAAATTTGTGTTGTTTTTGTCATTTTACTTCACATACAGCTGAAGCATAGTTAACTAATGTTAATTACCTAATCAGGTCAACTTTGTGAGTTCAACCTTATCTTAGATTTTAGATTCAGTGGTATGGAGTCCAAGCCCTGGAGTCATTTGTGTTTTGTGGAAAGAATCTGGCTTATGCAAAATGGCATGATCTGCATGTCATGCAGACTTAATGCTGCATAATTTGTGACATCACGTTTTGCTACTGGATTTTGGCATCGCAAAAATATATTAGATTCATTAGCTAAATCAGACTGAGGATTATTTGTTTATATAGAAGAAAAAGGTTTGTTTGTTATTGGTTGATGTAGAACCTGTGACTCAGAAGATTAATTTGTTGTCAGTTAGACTGAAACTTTACATACAATTCAAAGATTTTTGTACCACTGTTTTCTAAAATATGTTAATCTTATTGTTTTTCTTTGACTGCACTTTGCAGATCCTTGAGAAGCTTTACGGTAGCAATCACATCGTCATGGGACATGAGTTGATGAAGTTAGCCTCGATTCAGCTCTGCACGGGTGATCGGACTGCTACTCTGAGTAGTATTGACCGGGTAGAGTCAATATTTTTACTTTATTATGGATCTCATGTCGATCGGATATTCCCACACCTGAAGGTCCTCAGAACAGAAGCCGAGAGACTTGCTTCTTGAGAAAGCCAAGTGCTGTGCTCACCACAGAATTTGTTTCTCAACCTGGTCAAGTCATCCTTGTCCAAGCACCATATCTGACTCCTCGACGCCATAACCTGTATGCTATTAGCTTAAGGAGGAGAGGAGAGCAGAGTCTCTATGACTTGAGCCTTTTTCTTACACATCAAACAAGCACTGGTAATGTTGGTTTCCATTGAACTCTTTTTATGAGGGAAATATGTATTTTGTTGAACTTGTTCTGGTACTTTCAATTAATACACTTCTGGTTGGTTTCTTTGTAACTTTACGTGCCTATTCATTTAAGCATCTCTTGTAGAGTAAGTGTACAAGAAGAGTTTGATGCTGAAATTGATGGATTATAAGTTAGAACATGAGAACTTCGGAAGCATCAACCTGCCAGGACTTAAACCTTGATAAATTATGCTGAAATTGATGAATTACGTGCCTAGTTCGGAACACTCGATGCTTCAAGATCATACGAGAACTCAAAACCTTGGATGCATCAACCTGCCAAAGCTTGAACAGCTGACTTGGGTTTAGCGTTGTCGCTCAAGCTTCACATCTCAAAAAGATTTGAAGGCATTGACAAGAACAATGGTGGTTTCCTTCTCTTCTATTCGGAGTGTCGGCAACAATCCTCCTCGTCTGTCCGTGCCGACCATTAGCGTGTGTCCATACGGAGAATCGATTCGGCCATTAAGTCTGCGGACTACGTTCTTTGGTCATCTTTGGTAGATGTCTCAGACATGGGCGAAGGGTTGTCGAGGATTGGATCTTCCTTCTCTGCGCTCTGGAATCTGACCCTGCAAAGTAACTTTTTATCTTGGGAGCTTGAATGGGCATGTTTTAGGTGAAGAATGGAAGGACATACTTTCGTAGTGGTGCTCTTCTTGGTCACCTTCTTTCTCCTTCTCTTCCCTTCGATGGTAGGCGAGAGCTTCTCAGGTGGTGGAGGCGATGAGATGAACAGCGCCACCTGTGCGAATGACACGAATGCCAGGTGGGGTAAGACATCGAGGTGGTGAAGCGAATGGTTTACGTGGGGTCCCCCAATCGAGTGGCTAATGGTTTTGACTTTGGGCCCCGCTTAGCGTGTGGTGCCCACGTGGAGGCTTCGAGTGCTATCCTGCGCTACCCCTCCCAGCGTCTCGTAGCCGCAGATCCGAACGCCTATATAAAGCCCAACCGACTCATCGAAGCGCCATTTCCAGTTCCAAACCCACAACGTCTATTACAGTCGCGACGAGGACGACGACGAGAGCGGCCATCGGAGGGGAAGTCGAAGAAGATCCCCAATGCGAACTCGATTCCTCAACACCGATTACTTCTCCTCCCGATCTCCGATAGAAACCCTAAGGCGCTTCCAGTTCTTCCCCCTTCCTCCACCTCCTCTTCCCCCTCTCCTTCACGATCCTTCCCTCGGCGTCCAGATCCCCTTCTCGGATCTCGATCTAGACCTGCGGATCCCTTTGGACATCGATCTGTTCCCAATCGAGAATGCCCGATCTCAGTTTCTCTCGGATGTCATTCCCAAGATCCATCCCGACACAGATCACCGGAGCTCCCTTCGTTTCGCCCCTCGGAAGCGGAGACTGGTCTCTCCACTGCCAGAAATCGACGACCCTGAGGCAAATCAGCTCCTTCTTTTTTTTCTTGTTTGAGTTTATTCATTTTCATTTCACGTGTTGGTTTCATTCATGCCGCAGAAGAAGAGCGGAGCTGCGTGTCACTATGAAGATGACCAAAAAGGTTGGGGCAGTTCTAGATCTGGTGCGACTGATGCTGACATTTCAGACGTGGGTCATTGTGTTTGCTTAGTTTCTTGCATTGGTTTCCTCTTGTTAAATTTGGTCTGGCCATTTCTAGTGTGCTATTGCTTGCAGGAAGTATCAATTCTCATCCAGGGAGAAAAGGATGTGGACGAGTGTTTAGATTTGAGGTCTAGTGTTTTTGTTGCTAAAGATCTAGAGGTAGAATTATTAAGTGTGCTTTTTTAGTTTTTATGTAGATAAGGGTTGTTTATTTATTTTGATTGTTCTAAATACAAGAATTTCTGTATCTTGATTTCATATCATTAGGGTAACGAGTTACTGAAGGAACACCTGTTTGAGATAGTTGAGTTAGATCTACCACTGGTAAGAACTTTGAGTATATTTGAAAGAGCAGTCACTGGTTCCTTTTTTACTGTTCTGCAATTTTTTTCTCACATTCTTCTAGCTTTTTTTGTAATTGGTTTGTCAGGGAGAGTCCATGGGCTCCTCCAAAACAGAGGAAGCTGGAATTTATTTCAAGATTCCAGACATCACAATACCTCTGGTATGATGAAACCATTTCATTTTAACAACATTATGCTGTATGTTTTCTGCTATTCTGTTTTCTCTATGCTCATTTTTGCTGTCGGATTTCCAAGTACTAATGCTGAAATTTGTGGTTTAATATTTGGCAAGGCAAAGTCAACATGTTACTGGAAAACAACATCACATCCCAAAATCTAAGGTTGTTGGCCAAAAGTCAATGTGTACCATCTGGGAAAATTTCTTTCAAAGATTTTCCATGCACATCAGAGAAAAGATCAATTTGTTGATGTTTCCTCTGATTAGCACGTTTTGCATAAACTTTTAGGAAATGATGACTGCTTCATCCATTCGACAATATCTCTCCATAAGAATCTAGATCTATAACATTAACCTTTTATTTGAGAATGAATTATATGATAGCTTATGAATGAAAGCCTAATTTGATTGATATCTCAATCTCATGATTTAAGATAATTTTTAGTATGCGAAAATTCAATAATCATCTTAGATTCTTAAGTAATGGTAAATTGTATCACATTCATGTGGTTTCTGAGAATTTATTTGACTGTACCAACCACTTGAGTGTTAGATTTTCACTTGTCCTTGAAAAATAAATAGTGATGAAGCTGCAATATACTTGTATGCAAAGGCAATGATGGTTGCTAGAATGTTACATTGAAGAACTTTACTCATCATATTGGCAACTTATATCTATATAACATACTATAACCCACCAGAAAAGAGTGACAAACTACGGTGCAGTTTGTTATTTGTTTATAACCATTGATGTTGAACATGTCCATTCTGTCAAGTTCGTGGAAATTTTACACTAGTAAATCCAAATATGGCTGTCGGTCGTCTTTAAAAAAGGAAAACAATACATACACTGAAATTTTTATGATTTATAATCCGATGCATGTCTTCTTGGAGAATTGCTGTGTTTTTCTTGTTATACAAATATATGCTTCTTTGTAGGATAGTCTCGACATTGATGTTGAAGTTACAGTCATATATCCCCATAAGGTTGCTAAGTCAACTTATTTAGTGGACGACATCCATGCCAAATCTGACAAAGAAGAATTCTCTCCTCTCAAAGTTAATAGTTCTTCCGTAGACAGGACACTGGATCATAATATGATATTACCTCAACTAGAAGTCCATGAGCACTATTTGGACCCTGACGCTGGTATTGCCAATGCAGAAGTTCTCAGTTGTATGCTTCCACTTTTTGAAGCTTGTGATGGGCATCAAGTTGACAAGTTGGCGATTAATGCAAATGAGTTTTTGGAATCTAATAGTGTAGACATAATGGAACATATTTCAGAAGACACTTCAATGGACTACTTCCCTGAAGAGAAACCTATGTCTCTCAGCTCCATACTAGATATGAATGTCATAAATCTCGGTGATATTATGCTCCTTGAAAGAGGTTCAGTAATCTATTGTGTTGCAGCTAATGGAGATTATTCTCACATGCCATGCTCTGTACATTATCAGGAAGTTCAAAATTTTGATTTTCCTTCAGATGATGTCTTGCAAATTGTTGTCAATTCACAACAAGCAAAGACCCTGGATATGACTGAGCTAATGGTCATAGATGATATGGATTTTGCTGGGGGCCTGTATCAATCTTTTGTCAGTACTGAGCTGGCTCTGATTGATGATACATTCAAATCACTACCTACTCCTATCCTTTGTGATGATAAAGCAATAAAATCAGTGAGCATGGTCGTTGAGGAGTTACTTCATGCTCTGAAACCTCATTCTCTGTCTGCAAGTGATGGAATATATTTAGATTGGCATCCTTTGCTAGAAGGGGTATGCAACCGTGAAATTTGCTTTACATATATGAATATGCTACATAATGTAAGTAGTTGCAGTACAACTTCTGATCTTCAAACTGACATTGCAGAAAATGCAGCCATTGATATTGATTTTTTTGATGATTTTCTGGAAAATGTAGACACACTACAGTGTGAGGAATTACCTACAGAACTTCATAGGAATATTCCCCATATTACTTATTCATCTTCAAAACCTGAAAGCACTCAGATGCCAAACAATGGAAAATTCGAGGAAAATGCAGAAAGGAAAGTTAACATTATTACACAAAAGACTTCGTTTTTGTCTGAGTCAATGTCTCAATCTAATGATCTCAGCTTCTTCTTGGATGTGAGGAAAGGCACATCTATGGGAAACTATAAAGATGGAACTGTAAAATGTTCTGATAAGCATATTACAGCACCTATTGCTGTCTTGCAAGAGCCATCTATCCCATGTGGTATCCCTAAAGAGGTGTTTGCACAGTGGGTAATTGATGTGCATACTGTTTGCCTCTCTGACCATATTCTGGGCCTTATGGATCACATTAAGAAAAGTTATTCGGCCATCTTGGAGGAGAGCCCTTATTTGAAAGCAGACCTTGTGCACATTGCCAATGAATCTGAAACTTCTAGCCTTTCAAGGCAAAAACTATTAAATCTTATTATAAACAAAATTTCAAAACGGTGCACTTCAGACTCAAGTCATGAAGATGTTATGGCATATGTTGCACTATATGGTATTAAGCAGTTGTCATATTTCTTGTGCTTCTTTGGTGTCCATGCTGCTCATCTATATGTAAGCTATTTGGTTAGAAACATCAAAACAATGGCAGAAAGATTAAGATCACTTGAGGCCTTACTTGAAGATGAATGCTGGAAATCTGGTAAACAATTAATTGATCCACATCCATCACTGTCTCTCATTGAAGGGCTACTTATGTCAAATATTCAGAATTCTGAGAAGATACTGATTGTAGCTGAGAGAGTATTTTGGTTGCCACTGACTTGGAAGCTGGCTTCAATGGGAATAAAATTACATGCTGTAAAGGCTAATTCTCTGCCCCCAAGTAATTTGGATGGAATAGACAGCACTGAATATGACAATTCTGTGTTGGAACATCTTCATCATTCAGATTGCTTACTGGTATCTTACGAGTAAGATTTCATTACTATAAGTGTAGGAATTTTTGTCTTCAATGCTATTATATTGAATGTAATACTGTTTTTTGTTTTTGTCTTTTGCTTTTGATTTACTTAAGTTGTCTCTAGTGTTTAAATGCCTTTTGCTATGATAACTAATTTTTTGTGCTACACCTAACAAATTAATATTCTTTTGTCTTGAATTTTTTTTTATATTCTTGAACTTGCTTTCATCTTATTAAACAGTCATCAATCAGAAAGCAAGTTTGCAAAATGCTCTTGTCAATGTGGAGTTTTGGAGGGTGTATGTAATCTTACTTCTGCAAGCATATAGGCTATTTCTATGTACTGATTCAATATTTTGGTAATTAGAGAATAAAAGGTCAACTTCTTTTAGGTTTCTTTGGTGTGTGATTACAGAAGCTGAGACAAGGGATATTGTTAGAGATTATTTTTTCCTTAATGTTTATACTTTATAGTACGTGTTTTTTTTTCTCACTCCTTTTCTTCTTCCCTTTTTGTAGTCTTTCATTAATGGGAGACCTAGTGCACAAGACACCCATCATTATGGGGGGTTTGAGGGACAATACATACAACCTAGATTGCAATAGGCAATCTTACTATAGCACCATGGCTCTGAACTATATGGGCTTTGGGGAGGATCAATATATGCAGCCTTACTCCTATAATAGTATAATTAAAGATGATATTTTAATGACTCGAATCTTTGTCACCTAGTGCACAAGGTGCCTACCAATATAAGGCCCTAGAAGGAATAACATATACAACCTTAATCCTGTTATCCGAGAGTTTGTTTTCATAACTCGAAGCTTGGTCATCTAAATTGCAAAAGAGCAATCTCACCAAGGCTCACTCTCTGGTGCACAAGGCTTTCAAGTTTCAACAATATGAGGTTTGCGAGAGCCTAAGCCTACCCCTATAATAATATAATTAAAGATGTTATTTCAATGACTTGAATCCTGGTCACCCATATCTCAAAGAAACAATTTTACCTTTGCAGCCTTCTTTTATCTTTTAACTAATTTTGATCAGGAAAACCTACAATGTGATAATTCTTTCCTGATCGATCCTATTATGATAGAAACACTATTTGCAGTATAGTTTCGTATAAAATAGTAAAACTGTTCTAATTCATTTTATACTTTTGTGATTTATGCTATTGAATGAATTTATTGGGTCATTCTTCTAGCATTTTGGATTTAGCATTTAATTGTCTAGGGGTATCAGTAATGTAAATTCTGATGTATAGGTCATAGTTTAACCTGAGTTAACAGTATATTTCTCTGTGGAAACCAAATTTTCTTCAACTGTATAGAATCAATTAATTATATGTTCTTTAGGCCTTTATTAACATTGTGATTGAATTTGTCTTCAGCAGCTAAAGTGCTTGTGAAGCATGTGACATCCATCCGATGGTCTAAAAAAAAGGCCATTCCAAACCTTTGTATGCACAATATGATTTAGAGAATACCATTATGCTATCTTCATTGATAGATCACTGATTGTTCTAAATAGATGGAGAGAGTCCACTAGTTATCGATTTAAACTCCTCGTAGAGACACTAGATTTCCCATGTTTCCTATCACTGATATGCCAAAACATTGTTTTATATCTAAAAAATATGCGGAAAATGCTAGAAGTTGATCATGGGTGTGTGTGATATATATCCTATTGAATTAGTAGAATATCTTTTAAAGTTGTGCTTATGTCAAGTGCAAATTACAGTAGTTAATTATAACCATTTTGTTACCTTACTACTTGCATGGGAAAGTTTTCATATTATGGCCATTTTGCTTCATCTTGTATATGCAAAAGATTTTCACAAAATGTCTTCTCTTCCATTTACAAGGAATGTTTCTACTTCTTTTCCTTTCAACAACTTCAGCGTCATCTTGGAATACGGAGGTCCATATGCATCATCTAGATTGTCTTCTCTACATCCTAAATCAGATGCTCTGCCTCAAGTACACTTCATCCATGTAAAAATTGAGAATCATCTCACTCCTATTGTACTTTGTGAAGGCTTTCATGCATGCAGTCATCCTGGATCTACAAGGGTAATTTAATCTGTCTGATTTACCTGCTTTTGTTATCAGCTCTTGCAACCATTATGTTTCCTTGGTATGCTCCCGATTTATTTCTTTCTGATACAAAGCTAGCCCTTGTATAATTATGTAATTTCGGAATTATTGCCTGGCTGATGGTCCCACCATTCTCTCTCTCTCTCTCTCTCTCTCTCTCTCTCTCTCTTCTTTTTCTTTGTTTGCATGTGTATGTGAATGTCTATGAAGTTGATGCTATTAGCATGGATGCAAGTGTGTAAACTTGCCCGCGTGATGATGACTGATGCGTGTGCTTATGCATGCATGTGTCTCCAAGGATTGTTTTCTTGGGGCAGCTAGTTTTGTCGCATATGCATGCATGTGAGCTATGCATATTTCTGCATAACATGCATCTGTGCATGCCAAATATACTTGTGGATGTGTGTGGATCATGTGCTTGAATTTACTGCTCAATTATGCAATGACCTTAATAGTTCTATACCATGTCCTGATCTCCACGAGTTAAACTGAAAAGACCATTGGCTAGACTTATTATTAGCTGTAAACAAAGGATAATAATGATCAATGATAAGTGGTGTCTGCACAATAGGTTGGTTTTTAATACTGCGTTCTGTCTCCAACAAACATATGTATACTGTCCAAATGAACTTTCTCAGATATCATTCTTACTGCTTAAAATCTTGCCAATAAATCCAGAACACTGAAACTCGCAAAACTGATATATATATATATATGTATATGTATATATATGTATATGTATATGTATATACATATATACATATATATATATATATATATATGTATATATGTATATATTTGTATATATGTATATATATACATAAATATATACATACATATACATAAATACATATATACATATATATATGTACATATACATATGTATATATGTATATAGATACATATACATATATACATACATATATATATATATACATATATACATACATATATATATATATACATATATACATACATATATATATATATATATATATATATATATATATATATATATATATACATACATACATACATATATATATGCAGCGCCATCACCCAGTGTGAAGTGATCAATTTTGTTGTTGCCTTAGAGATGGACCCCAAATGTGAGTGAGGTGCATGTTGACATAGTAGATCTCTCTCTCTCTCTCTCTCTCTCTCATGTATGGTTGTGCATGCCTAATAGTTTCTGGAAACCTTGCATATAATGTAGGCACAAAGATCTACTTTAGGTAAAATTGCTTTTCAAATGCATACTTTGTGCTTGCAGTAATGAACTCTCTTAAATTATTCTGTGGCAGACCATCTAATGGACTCTATACCAACTGTAAATTCCATGAAGTTTCTTGGGTATAAAAGTTTCTTTTTTCTGAATTCTTTCTAATAAATTGGCACGTTATTATTCTTGTATTTGGCTCAACATAACACCGTCATTCTTACAATGTGACTCATTGATATTGGTCTAGGAAGCTTTCTCACAGTTCATGCCCAGTGTGCAGCAGAGCTTAAACAACATAATAGAGACACTAAATTTTGTTCCTACAGAGGAGAAGAGTAAGTGTGGATCTTCAGAATCTGCAAATCAAATGGAATCCTCTTATGAAAATGAATCCATAAACATTCCTTCTTTCGTAAGATTAAAGAATGTGGACTCAGGGGCACCTTGCTTCCCTGACATAGTTGTCATTGTGAACACCCAAAGTTTTAAGAAGGAAATGCTTATCTCTCGAAGAACTTCATACCAGAAAATCTTAGCAATGGAGAAAGCAGGTCTGCAAGTTGTGGAGCGAGATATAGATCTACCTTTGGACTTGATATTTAATGCTGCAGTTTGCTTAATATGGTATGAAGCTCAAAATTTTGTGGACAAGAAAGCAACCAGAGTAGAAGATTCATTTATAACAATGTTTGTGGAGAACATTGCAACTAGCACTCTTATGTCCCTTAGTTATTCTTTCAGTGCCTGCATACTGGTGAGCGTGATATGTTCATCTGTGAAGTTTGATGTTCAACCATACCTGTTAAAAAATTATTACTTCTGCCTATTCTTGAAGTATGAAATTGCAGACCTTGTCTTGTTCTCCTTTAGACCTGGAAAGCTAATTAATGCTGAGATTACTGCACACTGAGAGCAAAATATTGTCGCAAACACTCAAGCTACCAAGTCTGACAAATAATGCAAGTAAAGAACTTCCAGAAGTTGTGTAATTAATAAAATTATCTGAAAATTACTTCACTTCAGCTTATTAAAGTTCCATCAGAGAAGCTACGGATGCTGAATGGTGATAAAGTTAGAAGCATGCAGTTGATTCTTTGCATCATGTTTTCATCAATTTTAGTATTGTTTTAAAGCTCATATACTAATGTATGACTATTTCTAATGTGTTTGTGACTTTTAGTTTCTCATTTTATATCCACCTTATTGAGTTTTACCTCTAAGAATGCTCAAAATGGCCATACCATATCGATGAGTCATTTCACTTACCACATAACAACCACTGAAATTTTAAGCTTAGGTTATACTTGCAAAGCTTTTCCGGTATGCCCCTTTAGTTATGTCTGTTTTACGATCTTCATGTAAAGTTCTTTGGTTGTTTGTGCTTTTCTAGATCTTTGAGGGTGAGAGCAGCTTCCTTGCTGCTATAATGGAGTCATCTGATGCACTTTATGCGGCAGCTGCCAGTCTTGATATGAATTTGCAACTATTTTGCTCACATGATGCTGATTCAACAGATGATATCATTCTGAGCTGCATTAGGTCTGCAACCAGGTCAGCTGGAGATCTGTATCCAGCAATGCCTGAATCAGAGTCCATTGGTGAATCATTCCTTACAAGATTTCCATCTATAAATCCACTCTCTGCTCACGTGATACTTTCATCTGGGGGTAGCCTTGTGGAATTTCTAGAATGGTCCAATGAACGCAGAATTCAAGCTGTTGGGAAATATCATGTTCCTGAAGAAAGCATTTCTCTTTTCAGTGCTTTGTGCAGATATGGGGAAGTTGGGGAATCTAAATCTGTTATGACGGAATCTTCCTCCATTGACTCGGATTTTAATAGCAGATTGTTGTCCTCACCTAGGAAAAAACGGAGACATGCCTGTCACACTTATTTGATGCCTTCTGGTGATTCTTTCCTTGCTGAGCCATTGAATCAAAATATTAGTACAATGGAAGAGCCTCCAGCATTCCAGCAATATCAATTAAGAAACTTCTCTAATATCCAGGAGAAAATGGGAAAGATCAAGAGCAATTATTATAGTGACACGCTGGGTAAAAGACCCAGTGGATCTACAGTGATTGATCATGATTTGAACAGCTTAGTTCGACACAGTTATATTAATAAGGATTTCATTGATGACATCAATCAACATGATTACAACTTTCTTGAAGAAAAATTCCCCTTGGCATCAGACAAATTTAGTTTCTTGGAGAAACCAGAATTAGGAATTGAACCAGCAGATAGAAGCTCCCATGCTGTAAGTCCACGAGGCCTTAGAATGAAAGGCCATTCTATTTTCCCATCCTCTACTGAGATCCACCATGATACGAACAAAAGGAGTTCTATGAAGGATCACTATCTGAGTTTCGATGATATTTCCAGAAAGGACAATGTACTCATCAAAACCCAAGAATATCAGAAAGAAAAGTTCATGCAGGACCATAGGACAAATATTGTTGGTTTATCAGCTCAGGAAAAAGTTCCACCAGCTTATGGTGAGAATGCATTCTCAAATGCAACTCAACCATCAAGGTCTCAAGGGCAATGTTGGATTACTGATTTTCTTCATAGACTAAAGGAGAAGGGCAACGGGCAGCAACAAACCCTTCCAAGAAACCCTTGTTTTAATTGTAGAAGAACTTCTAATGTTAAAGATAGACCATCTAGGAGTCAAAGCCCTTCTGTTATTGATACTTACAGGTATCAAGGGAGTAACCAGACGAGGAACACAACCAGGAATAAATGGAGAAAGGACGCTAAGAGACCATCAATTTCAAATAAAAGGGAATGCAAGGAATCATCCTTCATTACTAGAACATGGACCCCCATTGACAAGAGAGCCAGACAGGTATGTATCTAAAACCATCAATTAACTTTCTTTCTTTGTGCACATAAAAATAATCTCATGTGAAAGAAATTTCTGCAGAATCTTTCTTTCACAAAAAATGGAAACGAAAAACAGAGCAAGCTGGTCTGGAGAAACAGAAACAGCCCAAATGTAGGTTGTAGTATTAGGAAAAGATGCCGAGATGACCGGTGAATTAGCTTGCTACATTATTGTGATACAGCTGTGAAGACTCTGAGAATGACCTCTGTTTGCTTGTAATTTCTTTTTTTTTTTATATTTGGATTAGAAATTTCTTCACAAATTATGGCATAGACATGATACTGTCTAGCATCAGCCACCAAAAGTTGGTGGTCTGAGGACTGGAAATCTGACTTCTCTCCCTCGTTGCTAGAGGCATATCTCTTATATTTTTAAGGGATTATATATCTCCTTATCCAAGAATTGTTTCCAAGTGAGCAAGTCATGTGTGATCGAATAGTAGTGCAGTATACGCTTTCTTTAGATAAGCTTTAGCTTCAGTTTTTTGTTACCTCAGAGGTGTCTCTACAGCTTTTATTCTTTCAACAAAGGGAAATGCGCTAATTGATACAGAATTGTAGCTTTACTTCAACTTATCGTCGTATGATTGATTGTTGACATGGGCCGTTTTCTTTCTCTTGTTTTCATATAATGGAAATTTTCCTCAGAATATATCTTCTTTACTCCTGTAACTTAACTGCAGTTGGGTCTGCATTCTTTAATTACCGACATTTCAGCCAACACTGCAATTACTACACTGTTGTTTGTTGGTACCAGAAACGAAGATTTGCATCGACTTCCATCCTCTTTTAGCAGTGTCGGACATTCTGAGCTTTCAGGTGAATACTTACTGTTTTTGATTAAATGGAATGTTCGAGCTGTCTTGAACTTATATTATTGCAGTTTATAGTTTGTAGAGATAAACGTTCTCTTCCCCATATAAGAATTGGGCTGGGAGACACGACGATTTTAGCTTTCTGATAGAGGTTGCCGTTGTATTGGTTCGATGGTTTCTCTCTCTTCCCGCACACGTTTGTTCTTTTCTCCGAGTTAATTTTTCAGAAGACAAGCACCGTGGTGCAACCACCTTTTCCTCTTATAGTTAAAACAAAGAGTGTTTTTTAATATCTAGTGCAAGAATGTTTGACGACGGATGAAATTATGTGGAAAAATAAGTTGTTTAAGACCGTACGGTAACAAATTTCTCCGGTCTTCCTCTCAGACACAGAATACACGGGTATGTGGCAGTTTAGAGCCACGTGACGCAGATGAGGTGGATTTTCCCTCCCACAGCAACGGAGAACGGACGGTCCGATCTCTATCCGCTCCTGGAATCATCAGATGAACGCTGCAGGATCGACGGAGGCGTGACGACGTCATTAGGCGGACGGGGTTCTCTCGGCCTTATCATAGGATTTCCTCCTCGCGACGACTCATCCTGGCACGAGGACAGAGCAGAGGACGCGGTAGTTGGAGAAGAAGTGAAGAAGATGGCTGGTTTCCCGTCGGTGAAGGCCGCTCCGTTCACGTACGCATCGCACGCGCTGGCACTGGCCTCGGCGGCGATGGTGCTCGTCTGGTGCGTCCACTTCCGTGGCGGCCTCGCCTTCGAGTCCTCCAACAAATCCCTCATCTTCAACGTACGCTATCCTTCCTCTCATGTTCTCGTCACTTCCTCTCATGTTGGGAATTCCTTCTACAATCAATTCTTTCCTTTTTTTTTTGTTCGTCTGTTGCTGTCAGCGCCCACCTGTTCATTCTAGAAATCAATAGAAGTCGTGGTGTATTCTGTTAGTTCCTATCTGGTGATGATTTTGATCGATTAATTCTAGAAATCAATTGTAGCCCGTTTTAATATTAGGAAGGAAAGCAAAAACTATTTTCGCCCCTTTGTTAATTGGTTAGAAATTTCTTTTTCCTTCTATATTTGTTCTTTGTGATCTTATTTTGATAGTTTATCCAGTTCCTTTCGATTCCTTTCGATTAACAAATCATAACGATGGTGTTTTATTTTCTTTTTCTTTACAGCTACTGTATATATTGATGTGGTTTCAGACACAGATTCTGCTTAACAGCGAGAAATCATACTATAGACCTATATTTCTAAGGCTCAAGGGCATGAGAGTAGTTGAACCCTAATAATGATCGCTCTGCAATAACCATGTCTGGCCAATTAGTTCTAGAAAACTGTTTCTGCTAAAAAACAATGTTGATTCCAGGCTATTAGCTTATAAAATAAACCTTATTGCTCTGTGTTGCTCCACAACATACATATTAAAATCTCCAGGGATGTGGGCATTGAGAAAATGACCTTATTTTTTATACACAAAGTAGAGGGTACAAAATCTCCATAAGTTTCCTCCCTCAATCAAATGTTCTTTATTGACTACATAAATCAAGATGTTGATGTATTTAATTGTGGAAGAACAAATTGTTTTGAAGGTTTAATTGCCAAATTTTGTCCGAATCTCAGCCATAACAGCCAATTGCAGAGCAGTTAATGTCATGCTTTCATCCAACTAGTAAATTTGATCTGTTTTTGGGTCTTGATCAATGTTAAGAATGATATCTATTCATGTCCAGATTCATCCAGTTCTTATGCTGATTGGTTTTATCATCATCGGGAGTGAAGGTAAGTCAGGTCAAAATAATTGTGCAAGTGTTATTTATGTTGTTGGACATGGTATATATTGGTTCACCTACCTCTTGACTGTTTTACAGCTATAATGAGCTATAAAACTCTGCCATGGAATCACGAAATGAATAAAATTGTCCATTTCACTCTTCATGCAATTGCTCTTGTACTTGGTGCTGTGGGTATTTATGCTGCCTTCAAGTTCCACAATGAAAGCGGAATAGATAATCTGTACAGCTTGCATTCTTGGGTTGGGCTTGGGACAATCAGTCTATATGGTATTCAGGTAAACATCTTGAACTACATTTATTGAATCTTTGGTCCGCATTACTATTTTAGCTCCCTGTGTTTTTAGTTAAACAAGAGTATACGTTCAGCGTTTGTTAACAATTGGTATAGATCATTGCTCTCTGTGCTCACTTAATCTTAAGAGAGAGAGGGAGGTCAAAGGTAGTGTTTAATGCATGAGATAAATGATATATGAAAGTGATCAGATACAGCTTTTGTCGTTTATAAATTTTTTGGAGGAATTTCTCACAGAAAAGATGGAAGATGAACTGATTATTTATTTGATGTTGTAGGCATCATTAGGAGATAACAAGGATAGTCATGTATGTTAGTTAGTGCAACCTAACAAAAATTATTGAAGTAGATGGAAATAGTGTGAAGTAATGACTAGCTTAATTTTATTGTTAGTGTATATAAATTTATATACACAGAGAGATTACAAAATATGATAATTAAATTATTTTCTCAATCAATAATAAATATATATATATAATATTCATTAAATCATTTCATGATTTAGAAGATCATGTTGAGATTATGATATTTATTAATGATAGAATCATGATACTATGTTATCATATATTTTATAATTTAGAATCATGAAAACATGGTATCAAAGTTATTGAGAGGATCATGATAATCTTATCATGATTTATGAAAGGTAGTGTTTAATGCATGAGATAAATGATATATGAAAGTGGTCAAATACAACTTTTGTAGTTTACAAATTTTTTGGAGGAATTTCTCACAGAAATAATAGAAGATTATTTATTTGATGTTGTTGGCTTTAGGAGATAATAAGGATAGTCGTGATGTTGCTACAACCTAACAAAAATTACTGAAGTAGATGGAAATAGTGTTAAGTAATAACTAGCTTAATTTTATTGATAGTGTATATGAATTTATAAACATAAAGAGAGATTACAAAATATGGTAATTACATGATTTTCTCAATCAATAATATATATAATATTCACTAAATCATTTCATAATTTAGAAGATCACGTTGAGATTATGATCTTTATTATTGATAGAATCATGATAATATGTTATCATAAATTCTATGATTTAGAATTATGATAAAAATGGTATCAAAATTATTGAGAGGATCATGATAATCTTATCATGATTTATGAAAGGTAGTATTTAATGCATGAGATAAATGATATATGAAAGTGATCAAATAGTTGTTTATAATTTTTTTGGAAGAATTTCATACAGAAATGATGGAAGATAAACTAA